CAAAAGTAGGAAAGCATTTACGACACACGGCGGGGGGGGAGCAAATGTGCTCGGTATTAGGGGACGTGGAGGGATCCTCAGCCCGAAATTGGGAAGGGAAAGGAGGAAGCATCCTTTACACCGGAGTGAAAATTGAAAATCAGAATCCATAGAAGCAGCCTCTACGTTGCAAGAGCACGACATTAAAAGGACAACCATGACAATAATCTTAAGGCTGTGACACAAAGCAAAGGCAGCGGCGGCAGCTCAAAGCTCGTGCTGGAACCTCCTCCACACCCCAGCTCAGAAAGGAGCCAAAAGGCACCTGGGAGGCAGAGAGTTTTGAACCTGTCTAATCCTCAGATATCACTTAAAAGGAAACTTTTTATCTGAGGTAATCAAAAAGTCAAAATGGAAAGGATATGACTCAGAACCAATGGCAGGTTACTTAGCCTAGGACACAGCAGTTATTTCGCAATCCAATTTGCTAGAAAAGTTACTTTTTCTAGGAAGGAGATTGGAGTCAAGAGTCTAAAACTCCTTCACTCAACCAGAACGATAATAATTTCACAGATTCAGCTCTGAAAAAGCGAAGAGCCATTATTTGGTTAAAGAAAAATGTTCCCTTGCTTCCCTCAGCCTTCTACAAATAACATGACCTCACCTGGGTAGGGTAAAACCCACACCAGCACTGAGACATCCCAGTGTTTGTTAATCCCAAACCCTTCCCCACGCTGGGTGTGGGGTGAAGAGGAAGCCACAGGAACCCCTGGTTTTCACTCACATGGTTTTCACCAGAGTGAAAGAAGATGCAGTCTCCAATTCAAGGTGAAAAGCTTTCACAAAGCCGCAGCCAGACATGCGGATTGAGGACACATAATGACTTTGAAGGTTAATTTCTCAGTTGCACATGAAAGACCCACATTCCAAGGAGCTTTTGGGGTTCTGAACCAACAGCCTGCAACGGTCCCCTGTCCGTCTGCCAACAGCCACAACTTATTCAAAGCACCGCTGAGAATGAGTATTAAACCAGTTATGTTGAAGTTAAAACATTAAAAGAAATGAGACCTCACTGCAAACTTTATTTTCCGGATGTCACTGTTCTGTATCTGAGTTCATTCATTGCACAGAAGAAGAATAAAGTAGCCAAATGAATCCCTTCAGTCCATAGAACACTCTCTCTCATATTTTAGGACAGGCACAAAATTAAACTGTTTCCAAAAATCATTTTCAAATAGCCAGAGACATCCCTCTTTGGTTGAGGTGGTTTATTCCACTGATGCAACTTCACTTTAGGCTAAAACTCTTAAAAACCTGGTAATTTAAGGCAACGGGGGTGCAGTTTTCACTAGGAGTGGCCCAAACCACAGCACGAAGGAGAGAACATACTGTGCATTCTTCATACTGTGCATTCTTCACACTTCACTGTATGTTTATGGGAGAAATTACACGGGTATTGGGAGACGACTGGAGACTCCACAGCACTGATTGAAAAATCAGTCCTGGATCTTGCTGGATCTCACACATTGGCTTAATCAGAAGTTACATTAATTTTAAGTTACATTAATTTCATTCCCCTCCGTTCCAACCCAGCTTTCAGGAATGCAAAAAATGACTAGAAAGTAGAACTATGTTCTAACCATCATCATCCTATGTCAATAAAGTGACAATCACTATGTCCCCCATACTGTCTTCTGCAAATCTAGCCACTGAGGACCTGCAGAAATTCTGCAGTGCTGAGGATTTACCAAACAGTCCTTTGGTATCGTAGCGACGCGTGCCCAGTTTCACAGTAATCATTTTTTGGGGGAGTATCACCACTCTGGTTTGGAGTTTTCCTCTCACTCAGCTCAGCGCCGCCGCTTCAGGTTTATGCCAACACCACTTGAAGACAACCACCCTTCAATTCACAGAGCATTACAGCAAGGAGCTCTTGCTCCATAAAACCAACCAAGTATTTTGTAGCTTATCTTTTCCTTCTCACACTGACCAGTAAATCTGGATTTTTCAATTTCTTTGCCACTGAGACAGCAACAGTGGTTTGAAGAGATTGACAAACTGCCATCGCTACGCGACTGGATGGAGAACTGACCAGGCATCCCATCCACCAGTGCCAAAAATCACTTTAACTCAGGGTTAAAGATATAAAAGAAGCCATTATCATGTTCAGAAAGCTATTAACCCAAGTTCTTAAGCTCCGAGATACTGATTTCTTTAATTCTGGAATAATACCCTCCAAACAATCTCTCCTGTGCACAATATATCTGACCAGTCACATTCAACATATAGGGGAATATACATCCTTCGGTGATGTGTGTGATAGAGACACAGAGGGAAGTAACAGAACACAACAAAAAGACTGTGCAAATTACTACAAAGGGAAATAATGCCTTTCGAGCAGAACACTTAATGTCATCACCATTCCACGATTAAGAACTGACCCATTTAACGAGAGGTATCAAAGCTGGTTTAGCCATAAGCAGCTAAACCAACACAGGTTTAGCTAAGAGGAATTTTTTTTTTTTTTTTTTTTTTTTTTTTTCAATTTTAAAACCAAACAGTTCTTATTCCCTTCATTCCTAACACAGTGCTGCAGAGAAGCCTCTGCAGTTAACAGCAGCTTTGATATCTTCTGGTACTTGGAGCAAAGTCCCAATGAGTTCACAGACAAACAAAAAGATGCAGAAAATTTAGGATTAAACGAGACAATAAATTACTGCATTCAAACGCTTCTCCTACACGTCTTCAGCAAAGGACAAAATCCAAGTCTCTTAAGTCCATTCGGAGTTTCGCTTGGGAACCTGTTCTGCTCTCACCAACGTGGAAAGCCAACCCAAGGAGACAGGGACCCCAGTGTGAGCTGATGGCCAATGAAATGTGCATTTAGTCCAACTCTTCATCTCCATCGTGCATTTTCACATGTCCAGCCCTTCCATCCAGAGGCAGGTGGAGCTCCTCACCCCTGAAGACGCCGTTAAGAAGCTTACCTTCTCTCTTCCACCATACCTGGCCACCCAGCACGTGCTCCACTGAATTCACTGAAGAAACAGTGAAACTCTGCCTGCTCTGAGCGGGATCGCGGTGTCTGTCACATCTGGCTGTAAGGAGACTGGCTTGGTAGTCAACTAATTATCAACACACTGTTAGCCATCACCAACCATGAACCTGTGAGAATGGATTTTAAAATTCACAGCCATTTTGAGGCCTACTAAACCTTTTTACGTAAAAATCTGGGCGGTTCAACCATCACCTATAACAATTTATAAGACAGGACCCACCAAGAGTGTACATTCTCTAAAAAGAGCAAATTACAATCAGTGGCAGCATTTCAATACGCTCTGAATTTATATACCCATGCCATGTGTCAATACATTTCCGTGTTTGGAGGATTTAAAAGCAAATTGTTACTGCTGTGCCCTCATTCTGAGCTGCTGGCAGAGGAGCCAACAAAGTAGAACAAAGAATCCTGGTCTGGTCCTCGCGAGAAGCAACAGGGCAGGGATGAAGAGACACCCACGTCAGGTCTCTGTCGCGTTGAACACTGCGGCCTGAGTTCTTGGAACAGTCTATCAGCAGATTAATCTTTAAATGGAAAGAATTAGAAGAAAATCACATCTTCTTTGCTGGTATCATCTTGCACATTCAACAGACTCGGCGGAGAGGTCACCAGGGTCTGAACGTGAACGTTATTGGGCTTGAATAGGTTCGCTGAGGCAGATGAAGGTGCTTCTGGCTGAGCATCTGTAGGGCCATACAATTCTATAGATAAAAAAAAAATAAATGGAAGAAAACAGATTCATGACACTGCACAGAGAGCCTGATGCATCTCCACAAACACCCAAGTTGGTCAAGACATACCTGGCTGGAACGCAGGGGTCTGGCTGCTTGGGAGGACCGGACTCGCTGATCGTCGGCCTCTCAGGACACCCTCCTCTCGAGCGACGAGCCAGGGGGGAAGCAGCTGCTTCTGATCAACAGATGCTACAGAAAACAATTTACAGATTAGTAGGTGAAGCTAGCAGTACTTCACAAATTTCTCTATTCCATGCTGGAGCCCACTCTACTGACACATTTGCATATCCAGGGAAGCTGCTACACCACAAAGACCTAGCGCTTCTGTTGCGACTTACTTAAATTCTCTCTGTTTAGAGCATGAATACTTTCTCCCTTCTCTTCCTTGAGGGTTTCCAATCTGGTTACTAGCAGCCCCTGGTGACCAGATTTAAAACTTAATACTATAAAGCACAGTTGAGAAAAAAGTCTTTGTCCTTAGGATTCAAACAGCAAAGAACTGTGATGAACTTTTGTCTCCGCTCTCCATCTGTCTCACAGCTGCTCGGCAGCAGAGGACATGGATTCTGGTGCTGTGGCCTGTCAGCTTCTTGATTTCAACAATAAAAGCAATTCATGAAATGGTTACTCTGGATCCAAAGAGCTTTTCTCAGTGCACATTCCTTACACATCACAAAAAAACCAAATTCAATACACAGTTATTTTGCCTCTGGTACAGAAAGTCTTGTTCCCTTTTATTCTAAGATCTCCATATGGGCACAACAAGCACACATCCCACTAATGCTCACAAGAGAACAGAGACCAATGTATTTGTGTTTTATACCTTTCATATAAATTCCAGAAAAACACCATTAAGTACATTTCCACTGCAGAGATCATTATGTAAGAGCTATTAAAAATAAACTTGGGGAGATGTGGTATTAGAGCTTTGTTTTCTCATTTACCAGCACTTGGGATTCAGGGTAGAAGGATATTAGGCTTCATTTATGTGCAAAAGCATAAGCAAGTTTGCAATTGTACTAAACTTTAGGCACGAGAGAGACAGATGTTTCTACAAAGTGCTTTCCCCCTCCCCTCCCAAGGCAGGTTTGGCCCCGGGTCCGCTCTAGCGGTGTAGGCTAGAAGGGTAAACTTGCCAAGTCTGAATCCTATACAAAGCTAAAAAGATATTTTTGTAACTTAAAATTATAGGCCATCCTAAGCTGGCACTAAGGCTATTTTAAGCGATAGTGAAAAAGTGGTTTTTACTCTGTCTGTCATTGGTAAAGATCACTGCTTTAGTACCTAGCAGTTAGCAGCAGGAATTACACCATGGCAGGGCGACTGTATTTTTACTGGCTTCTATTTCTGACAAAATTAGCCCCTTTCAGCTCTACAACACACACGGCATCTCGATTCTGGCTTGGAAATCTGTATTTAATGACCGACTTGTGCTAAGAAAGGCACTGCATTCAGTGTCATTACAACTCTGGACAGATAGTGAGAGAAGGTTACACCAGCCTCAAAACACTTCACTCGTGCAGAACAAGCAAAACATTTGCTCTTTTCCTTTACCACTGCAGTTGGGCAGGAAGATTTTACATCCAGGTTTACAAACAAGAGCTATTAAAAATAAACTTGGGGAGATGCGGTATTAGAGCTTTGTTTTCCCATTTACCAGCATTTGGGATTCAGAGTAAAAGGATATTAGGCTTCATTTATGTGCAAAAGCATAAGCAAGTTTGCAATTGTACTAAACTTTAGGCACGAGAGAGACAGATGTTTCTACAAAGTGCTTTCCCCCTCCCCTCCCAAGGCAGGTTTGGCCCCGGGTCCGCTCTAGCGGTGTAGGCTAGAAGGGTAAACTTGCCAAGTCTGAATCCTATACAAAGCTAAAAAGATATTTTTGTAACTTAAAATTATAGGCCATCCTAAGCTGGCACTAAGGCTATTTTAAGCGATAGTGAAAAAGTGGTTTTTACTCTGTCTGTCATTGGTAAAGATCACTGCTTTAGTACCTAGCAGTTAGCAGCAGGAATTACACCATGGCAGGGCGACTGTATTTTTACTGGCTTCTATTTCTGACAAAATTAGCCCCTTTCAGCTCTACAACACACACGGCATCTCGATTCTGGCTTGGAAATCTGTATTTAATGACCGACTTGTGCTAAGAAAGGCACTGCATTCAGTGTCATTACAACTCTGGACAGATAGTGAGAGAAGGTTACACCAGCCTCAAAACACTTCACTCGTGCAGAACAAGCAAAACATTTGCTCTTTTCCTTTACCACTGCAGTTGGGCAGGAAGATTTTACATCCAGGTTTACAAACTCTCACCATTGTTCTGTCCTGTTGGATTACGGAGCTCCATTTTCAACGCAGAACAAGCAAAACATTTGCTCTTTTCCTTTACCACTGCAGTTGGGCAGGAAGATTTTACATCCAGGTTTACAAACTCTCACCATTGTTCTGTCCTGTTGGATTATGGAACGCCATTTTCAATGTTATCCCTTTGGGCTATATTTCCATTTTAAATAGTATACAGATGTATTACGGAGCTCCATTTTCAACGTTATCCCTTTGGGCTATATTTCCATTTTACAGTATACACATGCAACTCCTAATTTAAGGATTTTAAGAGCCTACTAACTGCAATAAGCACACTAACAATTTGTAGCCTATTAATTTCTGACTTCCACATGGGCAGCCAGGGGTTTAAACTACACCGTTCCGTTTCCCTGTGATGCTGGCAGAGATCAGAAGCGCTTTTAAATACACTTACCTGAGCTGTCTGTCCTATGAGATGCTTTGTTCTTCCCACCTTTCTCTTTGCTTCCTTTTGTGAAAGTGGCCAGTTTTGTAGGAATCTGCTGCTGGACAGCAGCTGGTTTCTGGATCTGATTAGTTGCACTCAGGAGATGTATTGGCACTTCATTCTTCAGAGCAAGAACCGGCCGATTCTCCAGGGTGGTACTGTCCCTCCGAACCAAGTCTGGCCTTTCCAGGTAATCCAGCCCAGAGACACTCACTCTCACAGAGGTTTTGGAGATGGGTAGAGATGATTCCACCCCTTCTCCATTGAAGCTCATGGAATGACTTAGTAGGTTCTACATGAAGGAAAAAAAAATAGGCATTGAAAGTCAAACAGGTATTTTCACCCTCTCAGACACAACGAGGAGAAACCACCCTCAGCCCTGAGAATATAAAGCACTTTCTAGTAAAAAATGCAACAGGTTAGATGAAGCCCCAGGCAGGATGGCAAACAGAAGGAAGAGCAAGTCCTTCAACCCTGAAAAGAACCTCAGCAGCTCCAGACTGCTTAATATCACACCTAGCAAAGGAAGGCAAAAGCGTACTGCATTAGGTGATGACAGGACAGACAGAAAACAAGATCTTCAAGACAGTGAGAAATGAGCCAATTCAATCTGGCCCCAACCTTCACATTTTGAAACATAAGAAATGCTTTTAGAAATCCACTGTATAAAATGCTACCAATGTAACAGACCTTCTGCAATCACTGGCCTGCAACAGGGCAGTGCCTGTATTTAAAAAAATCCTCAGTCACGTTAAAAAATAACTTATTCTATGTTTCTATATTCTCATGTCTGGGTGGAATCTCACAGATACTGGGGAAACGCCAAGCTCCGATCTCTCAGAAAGCAGCCATCACCAGCTATTTCAGATGATGATTTAAGGAGCCCAGTAAAAAGCAAGCACAGGTTAGGGGCAAGCAGGTTAGCAGAAATAAAACTCCAAGAAAACCAACTCCTCACCTGTCCCATTTCTGGGGAGAACGTGCCCGACACCGTGTTCTGCTTCTTCAGCTTCCTTAGCTGATCGAGACGCTCCTTCTCTTTCTCCACTGCCCTCTGAGCCTCCCTCAGCCTCTCCAGGTCGTGCTGATAGGCCTCTCGCTGCCTCTCAAGTTCTTCTCTCTCCTGGTTCAACTTCCCTCTCAGCTGCCGAGTCTCCTCCTCGCGCTCCTGCAGCCGAGCTTCTGTGCTTTCAAACTCCCGCTGCTGCCGACTCCTGTCCCGCTCCAGGCGCTGCTGCTCCAGCTTCAGCTGGTTCTGGAGTTTCTGTACGTTCATCATTTCTTCTCTCTGCTTCTCAAAGTTCCTCTGTTTCTCCTGCTCCAGCAGCAGGTTGCCCCGCGTAGACTGCAGCCGATATTGCTTCTCCCGGTCTACCATGGTGGCTCGTTGCATCTCGATGTAGCTGTCCTGCTGAGATATCACTGCCTGGAGGGGAAAAGGAGAAGCTCAGCATAAGGAAAATGGGTTCAAAAAACATGCACAGCTACAGAAAAACCAACAGCATCTACCAGATTAGATGACAGAGACTTTTGTCTTCAAGAGCAGGTCTAAATTCCAAGCCCATGGTGACTGACATGACACTAAAGATGGCCAAGCAAATTAGTTATGCTTATGTATGTCAAAACTAACATTTCTTGCACCTAAAATTATTACTTTGAGTCCAATCAGAATGTTGCTGATTACAAGGTTACAGCAAAACCAACCAACGCATACACACGTGAGTACAGCAACAACAATTTGAAGAGGAAATGAGCACGGAGAGCAGACAGAGCTCAAAGCAGCCAAAGAATTGCATTGAAGTGAGCAGGAAAAAGGAAACAATTACTTAAGACAACAGATCTAACACTTCCTTCAAAACACCAGACACACAGTGTTTGTTTTCTTGAGTCTCAGGTCTTAAATTCTGCACTTCCCTCTAGCTTTAGGGGACATTTTCAAGGTAGCTCCTTCTCCACACCTGTAGAGATTTCATTGCATCCAGTGCTTAACAAAACTCTGGGATAATTAGTAGTGTTTTACCTGAAGACTGAAGAGCAACTGTAACAGCGTTTGGATCCTCTGGACCAGCTGAAGAGGAGGGGAAAGAGGGGGAGGAAAAAAGACATTAGACACTTCAATAACGCTCGGTTTTGATACGTTAAAAAAAAAAAGTTAAAAAGTTTAAAGAGTGAACACAATTAATGGTATCTGTACAACACACCCAATGGAAGCATGGCTACAAGAGTGCTCTAGCAGAACACACTAACAGGCTGTAGAGCAATATAAAAGCACATTGAATTCCAGTGTGTTGGTCCTTGCACAGATGTCAATCGGTGCCCAGCAAATCTCCTCAGGATTCCAGGGAACAATCTTCATCATCAGTTTTCCTCACACGAGAGATTTAATGATCACTTGCCCCCCCAGCATTGAATCATCACATGGGTCTAGCACTCACAGGAGATTCAGAGGCATCTCTGTTTGCTAAAAGGACTTTTATCTCCACACTCATAATGCATTAGAGTCATACAGTACAGGCTGTTAGTGCACTTGTGGTTCCACAGACATTAAAAATACTGAGGTTTTGGGATTTTTTTGGTTGTTTTGCTTTTAAATGCGATTATTATAATATGGTTATTTGCCATTAGATTTCCTAACAGCAGAACTGACATACCTGAGACTCTATGGTGGGCTGAGAACCACTGCTGTCATCCAGCCTCGTTGCATCACTCTGTAAAGAAGACAAAACCAACATCTGAGCTACAGACACTTGTTGGGCGCTGCCAAAATGAACTGGAAGGGGTCATCTCATTTGGGAACAGCGTTCATTGCCAGAGCAGAGATGGCTCCCATACACCAAAGGACACACACCCCCAAAATACTTAAATCAGATGCACCAGACTAAAACAGATGCGTGGTGATTAAAGCTAATGTTAATTGTACAGCATCAAATGAACAAGTATAAACCCAAATTATCATGCATCGCAAGTACTGAACTATCAACTTGCCCCACAAAACATCCTTAAGGAGAACATGTCATGCAAACAGCCACACTGATGCAGTGAGACAGGCACATCATGCTACCAAGTCAAAAAAAATAGAGTCTAGGAATTTGACAGACCAAACCCTGTTACAGTCTAGCCCTACCAGCTATTACAACTTTTAAATTTGCAGGATTCTCTCTGCACCACTATTATGAAGAGGAACATGAGGAAACGCGTTTAAATCATGGATAAGCCCAACGTACGGTTTGAGATCCTTCTTCCGTGTCAGAAGGGAGGTCATGGAGCTGCACATCTGAACTTACTGCTGGGCCTCTCCAGTCCCACTGTCTCTGGTCACCACCACTGTTCTTCCTAAAACTACCACCTGAAAGGAGAGTGGAGCATGAGCAGCTCACACCAGCACAAGGCCTGTGAAAACTCATCACGTAACAGAGCGGGCAGAAAAAATTGTGGTTTTTGAAGTTAGAACCAATATGCAACTGCATGGCTTATCCATGCTGATCCAACATGGAAGAGCAGGCAACAGTGACGAGTAGGGCTGCTCAAAAAAGGATCAAAACTTGAGGAGAGTGGGTTAAGATAAACAGGGAGAGTAAGTTCAAATTACATTGTACTATTTTAAGTGAAGCAACCACAATGTCAGCACGAACGTGATCGTCTGTGGCCACCAGAACTGCCAGCTCATAACAAGGAATATTGTTAGTAGAAAAATTCTATTTAAAGCAGCCCCACTGTAAGCGTGGAAGGAGGTGGAAGGAGACAGAAATTATACTGTATAAAGTACTTCTAGCATTTCAGATGTATATAGCCTTTCAGTGCCAACAGAAAGAATTTTAGTGATTAACAATTGGTGAAATAAACACCATTTTGCTTTTCAATAGATGCGTGAAGCAAAAATGGAGATAAAAAGTACCTAGTACTTCTGCTGTTTTCATTAACTAACTGATAAAACATGTGTCAAAAGGACAACTGATATTACATAAGGATCCAGCAACCCTTTAGTGACTGTGCAGATACAAAAGAAAGTGGAAAAAAGGTAGTGTGATTCAACAATAGAAGTAGGCAGCCGAGTTCAAATTTCCTAGGTTTTTGGGTCAAGCTTATTATTTTCAACACAATCAAAATTCTGTGTGGAACTGTGGTAATTAGAAAGCATGGGTTGAGACAATACCCTTAGCACAACAGCAACTGAGAGCTCTACTCTGCTCTCTAGTGTTGGTATCAGAAGCAAAAGATACAACATGCTAATGCTGCAAATTTGCTCTTATCCTCCTCTTGGAGTCTGGTGAAGCTTCCACATACCAGAGCCTCACTTAACTCTTTGTTCTTATCTCATTCTCTGCAGAAAGAAACACAGCAAGCAGCCAAGAAGCTCAGAAGAACATTGAATGGTCCCTTTCTTACTTTTATTTGAAACTGAGGGACTACTGTCGTATCCTCCAAAGGTCTCTGCTCTCCTGGCGAGTCCCGACCCAGAGCCATCCTCAGGCTGAGAGGATCCATTGCCAAAGTGAGTGACAATAAGGTTCTGGAGATTTTCAGCTAGGAAAGAGGAGAACATGTCATGCAAACAGCCACACTGACGCAGCGAGACAAGCACATCATGCTACCAAGTTAAAAAAAATATATATTCAACCATCAAGTACATTAAAAGATTGGGCATTTTGAAAGATTTCCTGCAGTACAGATGAATTTTCCTTGCTCTTCACAACATGGTCTTCCTATTGCATATGTAAAGATGACTTGCAAGTTAGATTATCAAACCTCGAGTGTTTGTTTTGGCTTTTTTTTCTCCCAAAACAAAAAATTATATATTTGCTTTCTAAATATACTATCCTTAGATAGGCTGTTTTAATATACAACTCTCATATAGTATTTCAGAATTGGCATATTATTAGAGCACTCGGTTACCCATCTGAATAGACTTATCCTAAAACTCCACTGGTTTATCCTTAAAAGTAAAAAAAAAAATAAAATATACAAGCTGTGAGAAGGTCCTCTACCTAAAATCCCAGATGGACTCTACCTGTCTAGCAGATTGTTCTGAGAATAAGGGAGTCTGAACAGTGTTACATAAAAGCATTATGTTATTACAGGCTGATTTTCAGGATCTGCACTTAGATCCTATGTGCTTATCCCCACCCCTGCACCTGAGTGAACACCTACAAATCCCACATTGCATTTACCTTCTGTCACTGCAGACTTCAGTATTGCCTCTCCTTGCAGATTTTCGGAGGTATCCCCCCGCAGAAGTAGCTTGGATCGGGATCCTTGGGAATGGTCTTCAAACCCACTCATTTCAGACATTTCTAGATAAATCTGCTGCTTCTCGGTTAGACTTTGCAGAATCAGGTCGTCTTTCATGTTCAAACGCTCTAAAAGGAAGAAACAAACTCAGTTCTGTCTTCCTAATCACCGTCAGAGTGAGTATAATGTTCAATTTGGAAGATTATTATTCCTTTTATGGTCAGAGCATCAAATGCAGAGATGTAATTAAGAGTTAAGGGGAAAACTCATGGACCATACAAAGCTTATTAGCCTTAACTACTTCTATATAATCTTGCACTACTTTGAAAGACTTATGAAGGAGAAACTTGATCACATCATGCGATAGAAGAACAGGAGAGCCATAAATCACAAATGATGCTGAGAATCAGATCGTGGAATATATAACTAAGTCATTACCTTGAAACTCTCTTAACTTAGCAGCTCTGGCTTCAGCCAGCCTCCTCTCTGCTTCAGGTTCATTAAATGTTCCTCCTTCTTCATCAGGACAGCTGTACAAAGGGGGAGACAGATGTAGGTTTGATTTGCACATTAGATAACTTCAAACCATCTCAGGATTCACCCATCATTTACCTTTCCACAGCTCTGCGGATGTGTGCCATCCAGGAATTCCTCTCCTCTTTTGAACTTGTGTGGATTTCATACATTTCTGGTCCTTTTAAGGAAGCGCTAATTAAGAACATTGCCTTTTCCTCATTAGCTACCTCTCTCACAATCAGCTTTTGCAATGAGATAACTGGTGGTTTAGAGTCCTGTAAAACAAAACAGAATTTATTTCACTACATTATATATGTCCTTTAGGGTTTGTGCTTCCTAGTTCCCCCCATCCCAAAAAATTATATATTTGCTTTCTAAATATATTATCTTTAGATAGGCTATTTTAATATACATTAATATTAATATTTCAAAATTGGCATGTTATTAGAGCACTGGGTTACCCATCTGAATAGACTCATCCTAAAACTCCACTGGTTGGAATTTTTATTTTTAAGGACCAAGTTGTGAGAAGGTCCTCTACCTAAAATCCCAGGTGCACTCTACCTGTCTAGCAGAGTGTTCTGAGAATAAGGGAGTCTGAACAGTGTTACATAAAAGCATTATGTTATTACAGGCTGATTTTCAGGATCTGCACTTAGATCCTATGTGCTTATCCCCACCCCTGCACCTGAGTGAACACCTACAAATCCCACATTGCATTTACCTTCTGTCACTGCAGACTTCAGTATTGCCTCTCCTTGCAGATTTTCGGAGGTATCCCCCCGCAGAAGTAGCTTGGATCGGGATCCTTGGGAATGGTCTTCAAACCCACTCATTTCAGACATTTCTAGATAAATCTGCTGCTTCTCGGTTAGACTTTGCAGAATCAGGTCGTCTTTCATGTTCAAACGCTCTAAAAGGAAGAAACAAACTCAGTTCTGTCTTCCTAATCACCGTCAGAGTGAGTATAATGTTCAATTTGGAAGATTATTATTCCTTTTATGGTCAGAGCATCAAATGCAGAGATGTAATTAAGAGTTAAGGGGAAAACTCATGGACCATACAAAGCTTATTAGCCTTAACTACTTCTATATAATCTTGCACTACTTTGAAAGACTTATGAAGGAGAAACTTGATCACATCATGCGATAGAGGAACAGGAGAGCCATAAATCACAAATGATGCTGAGAATCAGATCGTGGAATATATAACTAAGTCATTACCTTGAAACTCTCTTAACTTAGCAGCTCTGGCTTCAGCCAGCCTCCTCTCTGCTTCAGGTTCATTAAATGTTCCTCCTTCTTCATCAGGACAGCTGTACAAAGGGGGAGACAGATGTATGTTTAATTTGCACATTAGGTAACTTCAAACCATCTCAGGATTCACCCATCATTTACCTTTCCACAGCTCTGCGGATGTGTGCCATCCAGGAATTCCTCTCCTCTTTTGAACTTGTGTGGATTTCATACATTTCTGGTCCTTTTAAGGAAGCGCTAATTAAGAACATTGCCTTTTCCTCATTAGCTACCTCTCTCACAATCAGCTTTTGCAATGAGATAACTGGTGGTTTAGAGTCCTGTAAAACAAAACAGAATTTATTTCACTACATTATATATGTCCTTTAGGGTTTGTGCTTCCTAGTTCCCCCCATCCTCCCACTTACACAGGGCCACAGATCAAAACACAGAATGAAGAATATAAATTTCAAAACCAAAAGGTGATTGAATATTAAAACATCAATTTAAAGTATCAATTTAAACACCTGAGGATTCCCATTGGGTCCCAGAAGTCAAGAAGGGGCTGAAAAATTTCGCTTAGAAAGAGGCAAAACCAAAATTTGAAAAAAACCCAACAAAATCCTTAATGATACACGTGAAGTGAAAGAAGGGAACAGAAGGAAGTGTTGGAAGTTCCAAGTTGGCAGGTTGGCTACAAAAGAAACATAGCAGAGAGGTGTTGCAGGGTGCCATCAAGCCCTGTGACTAATAAAACACGGTGGCAGATAGTATATTGTATAACTAAGGATTAACTGGATTAGCTGCCAGCCTCTGTGATGGAAACAAATTTACAGGAGGGATCTTAGTTACTAAAAACCTATCTATGCTTCACACAGCCTAGGACCAATACATGTTGCCTAGAAAGATCCTCCCCAGAAGAAAACAGCTCTTTCTAACGGCATAATCTAGAGCGAGGATAAGAAAAGTGAACAGATGTCAGGAACACTGGGTTTTGCCAACTTCTCCGAGCAGCTGTACTGCAATTCAAGCCATGAACAGAGGTCACTGGAAAAACAAAATCACTGAGCAGATCCATTTGCTTCTCTCACTTGATTTATCTATAGAGAAGTGATGTCTAAATTTCAAATAAGCTGTATACTTACAAAATGCAAAAAAACCAGTCTGCAACTGTAAAGCATGTTACTGGAGGGGGAAAAAAAAACCCACCACGTAGCAGAGATCAGCTTTTGGGGACTGTTGTAAGCAACTGTATGACGTGCTCACAGAGAAGAAAAATTACTAGAGGACATATAAACCAGGGCATGGCCTTGCAGTGGAACAGCTATATGGACTAAGAACGTGTATGTATGGTCTTATTCCATCTGAACAATGCTTTGGCCTCAACGTAAACTACTCACACTTATCTCAAAGCAACAGCAGTCAGATGGAAAACTGCCACAACAGTCGAGACAATGCCTATTAACAGACTTTTTCCCCTCTATGAACTTGCTCTTCTGCTCACAGATCAGATACCATTTGGAAAACAGGGCAGAATTAGTCTCTCGGAGTCAGTGTTATCAAATGAACTACTGTTCAAAGATTCAGCTAATGCTGGTCAAGAGGAAATAACTTCCAGCCATCCTGATTTGTCAAAGTATCCCCATTTCGTGCATTAGAAGAAGTGTAATTTGAAAAGCAGTTGCTTTTACAGCCCTGAGGTCACCAAAATAGCTTTTGCCATTAGAATTCAGCTCTAATGTTCACGTCTTGAAAAAATACACCCAAGAAAACAATTACATGAAATAGTTTCTCTGTTACTGGTTCTCTTATAGCCATAACTGAACTAGATCAGGACAAAATGTACACAATTAACTGCTCTAAGGATATCTGTGGAAAGGCCCTAGAAAAGCAAGCGAATCCTCTGAGTATTCTGAGTGCTGCAGTAATTACATTTGTGTTTAGTGCTTATTACATCTATTTCAGGAAAGTTCTCTGCCCCCAGTAAATCTTAGGCTACTACAACCACGGTCACCATGTCCCCAACCGAAATGGAAGACTCCTTCCCTTCACATTAACACACAGAAGCTGACCTTGCCTGCAAGTGCCTTTCAAAGCACAGTTCATGCACATTTAACAGATATGACTTGTGTAAAATATCAAAGTTCAGGGAGAGGCAAAGTCACAGCCCAAGAAAAGGAGAAACTGAAGCTCAGAACATGATCAGGGCATCAGTCAGTCACAGGAGACGTGGCAGCTAGAACTGGCTGATGCAAGGGGACACTATTTTGCACTAAGGGACAGCAGGAGGGATTCTACAAGTACCAGAACTGTTTCAGAAGAAGTGATTCTATAATAGCTGCTTGGTTTATTAACTTAATTTTCCTTCTGAACCTACCATAACAAGTATCTAACAACTCTAACTGCATTTCTTCTGTAGTTACTGTCACTTTCATGAATGCTCTATGTGAATGTATTAAATAGGGAGAATACCTACCACTGATGCAAATGTGTATTTTTGGTCCTTTTCTTGTAAAAGCAACAGTACATCATTTAACAGGACTGCCAGAATATCTACAGTAACAACAAAAGAAAGAAAGAAAGATTATTTTAACGCCAAAAGTTGGTCCGGACTGAAAAAAAGAAATCACTTGACTTAAAATTCCTGTGGGTCAGGGAATAGCACATTAACATTGGCAATATTAGGTCTGCAGAATATTATTATGCAGAATAAAAGTGTCAGGGGGTTGACACAACACAATTTTTCTCGTGTGAAGCAGAGCTTGCACAAGGTAATGCCTTTCCACAGGAGAATAAATCATTATGACTCAAAGCCTTGTCATCTCTCTAAAGACCTCACTCGTGAATCAGAAAGCAGACCAGACAGATAATAAGCCAACAGCATAAGGAACTTATCATGCACCACTATAGAGATGCTTATTGGACAAGCCAAGAATAGAACAAGTGCTATTTCCTCCAATATCCTATTAAACAAGCAGGTTTTTGCCGACTTATTTTATACTCAATCGATCAGTAATAAACAGTTACTAAAAAAATATAAATAAATAATAATAATCTTGTTTTCTAGTTGTACTTTTCCCCTTCCTGACCCTTTACCTTTGAGTCGCCCTGATGCAGCTTTCCAGTAGAGCATCCCGTCCAGCAGAAGCCGCCTCTGTCCCATGTCATCCTTCCGGAAGAAAAGCCCATTCTTGCATTTCCCAGTTGATTTTTGGTCCATTTTATGCATAATTTCTTTAAGGCGCTGCCCTTTCTCACACTCATTTACCATGGCATCTACATGAGTGATTGCATCCTTAATTAAACTAAGGGCCTGGGTGAGCTCTTCATAATCTCTAGTTCCAGCTAAGAGGAAAGAGTAGCAGTTAGTCATATTTTCAACTCTGGAATGCAAGATATGAGCCCACCCCAATATATTTTAATGTGAAGGTACCATATTGAACGGTATTTATTAAGAGCTTAAATTTAAAAATAAAATAAAACATCCTAAATCTCTAATGAACTGACAGGCTTAACTACTGTGGTTTTGTGGTTGCAGACTTGAAACTGAGCGCTGCTCCTGACCTCTGATGAGGTGAGATTAATTTTATCTGCATCTAGATTGGCATCTTAAGCCAACAAAGAAGTGAGAAAGCAGGAGTAAGGACGGACCAGCCTGTCCCTCCTCGTCTGAGGAAAGAACACGCAAAATATGGGAGAAAAAGGACCTGCAGACAACTGTGAGGCTTCTCAGAAAGACTAAACCACTCACCTTCTGTATTCTGGATAATACGTTCTACCAAGACCGGGTACTTGGTGATGCGCTGGGTAACGAGAAGGATACACTCCTGGACACCAAGTCTCCTCACAATGGAACAGTTGCCAATTTTCTAGAAAACAAGACAGACCCATCACAACCACTGTACGTACACGGTTCTGTCTCAATCCATTTCACACATCTTCTGTCTCAAAACATTTCTGTGCAATTAGGCGTAGCACCACAAAATTAGCTGCACTCTTACTGAAGCAAAACTCCTGGTAACATTAAAAAAACATTGATTTTATTACTGGAAAAAAGTGTAC